TGCCGGTGCCAGCCGGCCAAAATGGACAGTACCTGAAAGGGGGAGTGAGGATTGAAAGAAAGGAAAGGAGACAGAAAAGATGCTTGGGAGGGCTCACAGTGAATACTGCAGCCCCGATTTATTTCAGTTCTGCCTTTTTATACAGAAGAACTCAATTAGTTACAACTGCTGTTTTTCCCCACCTGTATCTGAGGGTCAAGGAGCGGTCAGATCAAAGGCTTCCACTATTGCAGGTGTTGTGAGGCTCTCCATATAAACATATTCCTCCTAATAAGGCAGATTAGATACTGGTGTGCATAACACACACTCAGTAAACAAGCCTGATACAGCTCAATGATTAGCAGCTCCCGACACACGGGTATGAGCAGTATGCCTAGGACAGCAAAGATTACATTGCCCTGAACGAGGACCTGCGCTCCTGAACCACAGCGGACATGGCGGCTCAGGTTGGAGCCAGAAGGTTGGACAGAGCACTACAGGGCCTACCTGGAGGGGAGGTGCGTGGTGTCCCTCCTCACATACCTGGAGGATGGGAAGGAGACTCTGCAGTGGGCAGGTAAGAGGGGCCACGGGAAAATCCTCCATCTGCCTCGGACTGGGGCTAATGTCTCTGAGGAGGGAGGAAAATGGGATCAGCTGGAATTGTGCTCTCTCTTGGGGTTGGATTGTCTTGTGTGGCAGTATTCCTGGGAGATGTGAACAAGTCTACCTACCCCAGATGGGGACCTGACAACAAAAGTGGTAACACCACAGAGTCTGATTTGGTGAGCTAGAGAGTTTATTGGGGTTACAGTGTGTGGGTGAGGGCGACTTCTGCAAACACAAAAAAAGACATTTGCTTCACCAAAGCCCATCTCCCCTGAGATGAGAGCTCACTAAAGATGGAAACCCCGGGATCACTGGCACAACTTGCAGCAGCTGGACAGGCACGAGGACATGAGGTGCAGGGTCTGAACAACTGCCCTCCTGTGGGTCTCTCTTCACAGGGACCTTCCGCTCTGACCTCTGAGAATCAGGTCCCCATGTCCACAGTCCTCAGGGTGATGACTCTGTCCCTCACTTTCCATGGGCTTTACAGAGTTTGTAAAGACCTAGTCAGGAAAGTTTGTGTGTGGGCAGGGCTTCCCATTAATGAGGGAGAGACACTTCTAGAAGTGAGAAAACACAGACCCTGCCCCTCCCTTCCTGTGTTCCTCCTATTCCTCTTCCTCCACCTCCTCCTCCTCTTCCTCACAACAGCCACCACAGCTCCCCTGTGACCATTGTCCCCTCCAGGCAGCTTGGCTGGTCTGTGGTCTCTCGGGTCCTTATGGAACCTTGGGGAAGGAGGCACTAGTCAATGTGGTCAGTTTCAGGGAATTCATTAAATTATGAGCTTTACATTCCTGAGTTTTATTCAGCTCCCCTGCAGGGTGGAATGTGTTACCTCCCTCCAGATCATCCTTGTCCCAATGCCCTTCCTTCCTTAATGGAATGGTTTATCTTGAAGGAATTTACTACACAACAGAGGGGAGGACGCTCCTGGGTTTCCTGGTCCAGCATCAGAGAGTGACTCCAGAGTCTCTCAGGATAGGAGAGAAGATCCTGAAATAACCAGCCAGCAGTTCCTTCCATCTGCAGCTCACTGTGAACCACGGCCTCTCTCAGGCTGGGTTCTCTGCCCACACCCAGTGTCTGGAGGTCTGTCTCCAGTGATGCTGAGCCTCTCAGCCCCACCCAGTCAGGACCAGAAGTCCATTTTCCACCAGGGAAACCTGGAGTTGCCCATCCCAGGCTGAGTTACTCTGATTATAGAACTTTCCAAGGAGTGGATTATCCCAGATTCCTGTGTCTAGGCAGCTATGTGAAATTTGTACCCCTCACCCACCCCAGTTCAAAAGTCTGTTCCCAGGATGGTCACATGAGCACTGCTGAGTCCCCAGGAATAATATAAAATGCCCTAACTTTCCACCTGTTTATCTAAGATCCCCCAAAGACACAGGTGACCCATCACCCCAGACATGAAGGGGAAGTCACCCTGAGGTGCTGGGCCCTGGGCTTTTACCCTGCGGATATCACCCTGACCTGGCAGAGGGATGGGGAGGACCTGACCCAGGACATGGAGCTTGTGGAGACCAGGCCTGCAGGGGATGGAAACTTCCAGAAGTGGGCAGCTGTGGTGGTGCTTTCTGGAGAGGAGCAGAGATACATACACATGCCATGTGCAGCATGAGGGACTGCCTGAGCCCCTCACCCTGAGATGGGGTAAGGAGGATGTGGGCACAGAGCCTGCTGTCAGGGAAAGCAGGAGCCCTTCTGGAGACCCTGAGAAGGGTCCGGGCTGAGAGCTGGGGTCAGGCTCTCACCTTCCCTTCTCTTCTCAGAGCCTCCTCAGTCCACCATCCCCATCTTGGAAACTGTGGTTTGCCTGGTTGGCCTTGGAGCTGTGATCATCTGAGCTGTGATGGGAGGAGGAAGGGGGGGGAGGAGCACAGATAGGGAGGGGCAGGGTCTGGGTTTTCTCTCTTCTAGAAGTATCTGTCCCTCATTAATGGGAAGCCCCGCCCACACACAAACTTTGCTGGCCTGGGTTTGTGTGCTGACACTGCACTTTAAAGTACATGGAATGTGAGGCACAGATTTATCACCCTGAGGACTGTGGACATGGGGACCTGATTCTCAGAGGTCAGAGGGGAAGGTCCCTGTGAGGACAGACCCCCAGGAGGGCAGTTGTTCAGTCCCTGCGCCTCCTGTCCTCACACCTCCTGACCCTTCCCTGGATTTGCAGTCACAGTTCTGGAAACTTCCTGGGGTCCAGGACTTCCCTGGTCTCACAGTTTTTCTTCCCACAGGTGGAAAAGGAGGGAGCTATGCTCAGGCTACAGGTCAGTATGGGGAGAGGGAGGATCCCCGAGGCCCTTGGGGAGGAAATGGAGGCCATAGGGAGTCAGCCAGACCATAATTCCCTCCCCCCCCACATCCTCTCTGGCTCAGAGTGTGTCTTATTTCTGCACTGCAGGAAGTGACAGTACCCAGAGTTCTGACCTGTCTCTGGAGGCTTGTAAAGGTGACACCTGAGAGACTGGATTGGGGGTGGGCAAAGGGGACAGGACTGGGTCACAGGGACTCTCAGAATTTGGACCTTTGAGTAAGTGGTGGTGGTGGTAGTGGTGTCTTTATAGCCACTGTTCACAACTCTTGTTCTTCAGCTTGAGACAGCTGCCCTGTGGGGACTGAGGGACAGGAAATGTGTTCAAGTCTCTCCCTTTGACTTCAAGAACACTGGATTCTCATACACATTGATATGGCCAAGATCAAGTCCCTGATATGGGCTGCTGTGGAAGAGAAGCCTCATGTCCAACTGGCTCCTGATGATTATGGTTCTTTGATGTTGTCCACAGAGCTGGGATCACTCAGGCGTGTACAACCTTTTGAGATTGGGACACCACATTGTCATCTACACAATTCACACTTGACAACTGATAAAAGAACCATACCACAGATTCAAGATTGTACTGTCTCAAAATTTCCTCCTCTATAGAAATTAGTCCATCACATTTTACTTTAGTCTCAGGAAAGTTCTTAGGGGAAAATCACTGCTAGAATCTTTGCTGATCTCCTATGAATGGCCTCTAGCCTGGTGCTAGTAGAGACCCAGCTCCCCTCTGAAACCTTGTGAGTATGAGCTGGGCCTCCATTGTCTGCACGGCTCCCAGCACTACCGTCTTCAGGTCTCCTCTAGAACAGCCTGCCAAGCTCTGCTCACACCACTCAATCACTCAGTTTTCTAGTCCAAAGTTCCAAAGTCTTCCACATCTCTCTGAGAAACATGGTTAGATTCTTCATATCAACGGCCGATTCTCTGGTGCCGATTTCTGTGTTAGTCACCTTTTGTTTGCTGTGATAAAACTCCAGGACCAAGACAACTTACAGAAGGAAGAGTCTACTTTTGCCTGCATACCAGAGGGATGATAAGATGTCGGCACACGGGAAAGGCGCAGCAGCAAGCCGCAGGTGTGGTGGTAAGAGCAGAAGCTGAGAACTCACATCTTCAACTGGAAACAGAAGTAGAGGAACCAGGTCGTACTCTTCCAACATACCAGGGCATAGAACCCACATTCCCATAGCAAAGGAAGGAATGGAAGCAAGATTGAAAGCCAGCAAGACAGACACCAAACCCTACAGCTCCATGTCTGATGTCTGGGACTTCAGTTTCAAGGGGCTTAGGTGTCTCCACCCCTCTAGCCTTGCTGCCTGCAACATATGCATCTCTGTTGGGCTGATTCGAGGATATGAATTCTCAAAGTGCACCCCTGTGACATACGTCCTCCAGCAAGGCTGCACCTCCTAAAGATTTCATGACCCTCCCAAACAGCACCTCCAATAGGGAACCAGATGTTCAAATACTTGAACCTAGGGGTAAATTCATCACAGCCAGCAAGATAAACCAAGAAATCAGCAAATGTTTGCCAAAATTGACCCTAAATTAAATGAAAATTCTCAGGCTAACCAAATAAATTTAAGTACAAAACAAAACACTTTGTTCTCTACTACAAACACATGCCACTGGCAAAAACACACAAACAGGAGGAGG